TGTACTTGCAGAAGTGAGTGTAAAATTGCAGACAGGTCGAAAAGTCAGGAATGGATCTACTGAAAATATCTGAGGGAGCCTGCTGAAGGGCAGCAACAGCCTGTTCCTGCCATCGAGGCTCGGGCTCCGTGCAGATGACTTAGTAGCTCCAAAGCACCTCCTCTGAGACGCCCAGAGTTGGGCTGATAACTTTGGGGACTTCATTATCTCAAGTAGGAAACAAGAAAGGACAGAGTAAATGGACTGAATCTACCTCTGTTCTCTGCAGTCGCCCTGTTCTCCAACACACTGAATTGAACCACTAAACTTGCCGGGGGCAGCTGGGCACAGCGTGGCTGTCTGGCACAATGACATTTCTATCTGATGCGTTTGCTCTTGTTTTTCTTTCTACATACGACGCCAAAGCCACCAGGATCTGATGTTGCCCTGTCCCTCTGTTTACATTTCTGCTCCGGGAGCCCACTGTCTGCTTGTCACTGACAGAAGAATGAACTGACCTTTTCATCCCGCGCCGGAATTCATAGAGCTTTTGCCCCCCAGGAATGGAAAATACACGAATGACTGTGCCCTGCAAAAAATGTAAATGGAAAGATCACGCAGGAGCTGAGCAAAGAGCGTGAGCCCTTTCTCTGACACACCCAGGATGTGCAAAGGCCTCTCCTGTTTGCCAGCCAGGCTCAATCTGAACCTGATACACTGGCCTCTTACAAGTCAGAGTCCTTTCAGTGCCCCTCCTCTGTTGGCTGTTAAAGAACGGGCAGGTCAGAGGTCCTGCTCTCCACGGTCCAGGCAGCCAATGCACCTGACCTAGCTGGAACCACCCTGCCAGCCCCGGGCAGAGAGCACAGGCAGCAGGGAGGGCGCTCACTCACTTTTTCGGAAGCACTTGCCAGCTTCGAGCCTGTGGAGTTGAAGGCAAGAGCAGCCAGAGGCCCGTCATGGGCAGGAATCGTGCAGGCTGTTTTCTGTAGGGCAGAAAGTAACGTGAGCGTGAGGAGACGCTGAGTTGCTGTTCAGACTGTGTAAGGGCAGGATGTTCCCTGCCTTGCACCCTATCCAAGCCTGCTGATGTAGACTCATGGGCTTGTATCGCACTTACGGTATCCCTTCAACATCTCAGCATTTTTTATCTCTGCCCTGCCTTCAGCTCACTCTCCACCTACCAGAGCCACTGTGATTACAGCAAGCTCATTTCAGGGACAGAGGTCCCCAGTTCCCCACCCCTCCGGGCTGCAGGATCGCAGCTGTGCCCTCTGCAAAGCCTGGCCTTTCTTTAGGCAGAGATGGAGCTGGCCTCCCTGCAATTCGCTCGCCTGTACAGCAAATCCTGCTGCAGCGACACCACCCTGATGCCTGCAGGGAGCCCAAGCCCTTGCTGGTACCTCTCCTCTGCGTGTTTTCCCCCTGTGCTCTGCTCCTCCCCTGCTGCAGATCCTCAGCTCCCGCTGCACGTACAGAGCGACAGCCTTATGTAATCCAAAGCCCTGGCATAAACAGCAGATAATCGTGACCCTGCTTCCAGCCAGGGACAGATTTCCTGAGGGGCCTTTGGACATCTCGCCCTCTCCGTGACTTCGGGTCCGGCAGCCCTTCCAGCCCGCGGCGTGACAACGCAGCTGCTCCAGGTCCTGCGCTGCGCCTGGAGCCGCTCCAACCCGCCCTGAGCCACCCCGGTCACATCCCTCCCGTGGGATACGCTGCTGCAGCTCCTATAGGAGCCCCCTGTAGAACCCCTGTGTCAGCCTGGCAGTGGTCCTTGGGCCATGGGGTGACTGGTCACGTTTCCCTGAACATCCCACGCTGGGCGATGGATGTCCTGAGCTCCAAGCTGTCTGCTTCGCCTGGCGTCCAAGCAAGGGGGATGGGGACCCTGCCTCCAAGGGCAATTCCCCTGCAGCCTAGCTTGGTGGAGCGTATTTATTCATCCTTCCCAAAGGCCCCGTTGGCTTTGCTGTCGTTCTGTTTGTTTTCAGTCCCTGCCCGTATCCAAACGGGCGAGCTTCACACTTACCAAAGTATTTCCGTCGTAAAGCGCGATCTCTCCGCTGGTCGCGCTGCCGGGATAAGCCAAGTAGGAGTTGGCGTGGTTGATCGAGAGAGCGCACAGGCCTGGCAAGGACGAGGAGGACGCAGCTGAGGTTGTTTGTTGGTGGAGGACAGAAAGCAGAAAGGCGGCCACGGCCACGGCGGGGGGTTCAGGCTCTGTCTAGTTTTGGGGGAGCGTCGGGCCCGGGCGCAGGCTGGCGGAGCGCTGGCAATGCCTCGGCCGTGGGGACACCTGCTGGTATGGGACAGTACGGCTCCCTTCTCCCAGCCACCCTCCTGCCCAAACCCCGCTCTCGGGCACGCTCTTGGCTTCAACCCCTTGGAAAAGGCACAAGCAGGAGCGTGAAACACAGCAAGGGACAGCTTCGCCTCCTGTCACAGAATCACAGGATCATTTAGGTTGGAAAAGCCCTTTAAGATCGACTCCAACCGTTAACCCAGCAATGCCAGGTCCACCACTGGACCATTTCGCTAAGTACCACGTCTGCGGCACATCTGGGCACCTCCAGATGTGCGCAGGGTATAGGTGCCGGGTGGGAAGCTCGGGCGCAGGCAGGCTGGCACGGCCGGGCAGCAGCTGCGGGGCCGGGCAGCGCCGTTTCCTTTTTCTCTGAACGGAAAAGGGAAGCAGTGAAAGACAAAGCAAATGCCACAGTTGTGCGGTGAGCTTCCGGCTACACAAGGAACTCGAACCTAGCTAAATTTTAACCACAGAGGGAATTCTTCCTGGTAACAGCCATCTGGTTTTATGCAAACATGAGCATAAAGGTTCCCAAACATCCCTTTCAAATGGAGCAGGAATTACAGGATGAGACAGGATGGATGGATGGGGGGGGTACATCCATCTGCCTGTCCCTCGGGCGACCTCGGGAAGGAGCATCTCTTCCTGCCGCTCAGGTCCGCCGCTGGCTCAGGACCCATCCCTGGCTGAGGACCCATCCCGGTGAATCCTGTCACATACAGCAACGGGTCTCGCTTGCTTCCTGCACCACATTCGCGTGCTCACAGTCCTCCCAAATCTGACTCAAGGCTTCAGCACGACCTGGGGCTTCCTGGCCCCTGCCAGGGGGTCCCACCGAGTCCCACGTGCAGAGGAAGCCACGGGGTTAAAGGCTGCCAGGGATGCTGTCACACTGCCCAAACAGGACACCCGAATGCGTGCACACATGTGCAGGGATGCACGCACACACGTGGGGCAACCCATCACGCCAGGACACTGCCCTGGCCCAGGCCCAGCAGCGGGGAAGGATCGGCCGAAGCTCTCATTTTAGGTCATTGTTTATAACTAAACAAAGAGACCACAGCAGAGCCAGGGGCTGCAGGATGGGCCAGGAGCCCCAGGGATCCACTCCCTATCAGTCGGAGGCATTTATACCGTGCCAGGCACAGCACCGGCAAAGCGCGGGCAGTTAAAAGGCATCCGAAGAGTGAGGGATGGGAGTAAGGCAAAGAGAGCCCAGAGACTTTGCTCCTGATGAGCATCCTGCCTTTCAGAGCAGTCCTCCTCCAGCCCAGGCAGCACAGGGCGATCGGCACAGCCCTTTCTCTGAGCTGCGGATCTAGAGAATGCTGGAGCTAAACAAAGTGAGCTCTGAGCGGCTGGTGTGAGTCACCCGCTCCCTCTGCTCCGCGCCTGGCCGGGAGAGGCGGCTGGGAAACCAGGCCAGGGGAAAATACAGATGTGAGAGTGTACTGGGCTGACCTCAGGGATGCACAAAGAACAAGCATCGCGAGGGACACAGGCGGCCTTTGAAGATGCTCCTCTGCTCTTGATGATTCTGACGAGGGTCAGTGCGTGCAGCGGGCTCAGGAGGGAGGAGGCAGCTGGTGTGGCTCAGGGTGGCAGCTCTGGGAATGCCACATTGCAGGTGGTTTCCTCGAGCAGCATGGAAAAAAGCTAAGAAGCCTGGCCTTGCTCCCAGGCCAGCAGGTCTAGGTGCATCTAGGGCTTGGGGACAGTTACAGAGGTGATTTCCAAAGCTGCATTTATCCCCGAGATGTGCCCTCGTGGCACGCATGTCACTGTCTTCTGTGGTGTAAACCTTCCCCTGACACAAGCCACATGAAAACGTCGTGCCTAAGCACGTCAAGAACAACGGCTTGGCCACTGT